AAAGAAGAACATGTTTCCACCAGCTTTAGTCTTGAGGAGCAAGACACCCGAAAGGAAAGCAGCATTACACCCTTCAGCACATGAGAGCTGAAAGCAAGAAGCGCCAGCTCTTGGAGGGCCGCGCAAAAGCCCGTCAACAGAGTCACTAACCCGAAGCAGCCAGGTGCGTTGACCCCGAACGCATCGCGAAAGGAGCGCGTGTGAATTGGTACGTTCTAAACCTATGATACCTCAAAGTGATTGCTTTCCTTCTGGCCTCTCTTCAAACCTGAGAACACAATGATCAACGAGTGGGAAAAAACAACCAAACAAAATGACGAGTCTTCCAAAAAGGAACCACGAAAACGGTGGCGTTCCCTTTGGTTCTTCTTCGGCTAGAGGTGCTGGGGCCCCAGCACCTTTTTGATGCACAAAGCTCTGGTTCTTGCCGGCGTGGGTGCTGCCACTGCCTGCTCGTCCTCAGGCCGGCGGTGTCCTCTTTGGTTTCGGGTTGACGGGTATACTTTTAATTGCTGGCTTCGGGAAGTTGATAAGACTGGTTTACTCTACGGAGAGCCAAACATTTGTTCTGGTGTCTCCTTCGCTTCCTTTTCAAAGACTCTGAAAAAGGTCCGGCCCACTTGGCGTCCCAAGCTGGCAAGGGCGCCAACCTCCGGATCTCTGGGCATTTAGCTTTCGGCTCGAAGAACTCTGCGAAAATTTGCGGCAGGAACCCAAAACGCCGAGCTTGCAAAGCATTCATTGCTCCTTGAAGTTCCATGTCCAACCATTCGAAGCGTTGCCAAAAAGGTCCCCTTTTGGAGACTCAAAACATGATGGAGTTTTGGGTTCCACACTACCAGTGTCGCTCAAAACTGACAAGCCTAAAGTACAAAAGGTCAACTGGAAGTCTGAACTTCTGCTCCTTCTCCGAGAGGACATGCTTTTCCAGTATACACAACCGGGTGAGTCGTCAACTGTGCGGCCAACCTCCAAAATATGCGTTCATGGCATTGCTTGGTAGTTTTGCTTGGGTTCCCTTTCAAACACGACAACTCCCAGAAAGGTCCGCTAGCCGCTTCTTCCTTTTGAATGGCCCGCACATTTTCGGCGGCTCTGCTGGCGTCTCCAGCTGTGGCCCGCACCCATCTCGGATAGGTCTTGCAGCTCAGGTCATCCTCCTGACCGCAAATGGCAAATCAGTGCGCCCCTCTGAGTCCCACGCATGGAGTGAGCATCTCCAACGTTGCTGTTTGACCCGTGGCTGAAATCAAGAAACCAACAAATGTTCCACACTTTCATTCATGGGGCCTTATGTTCTCAACGGTTTGAAAGCTGCAAATCGCATTTCTAGATATTTCTATTGAACTCGCAAGCTTAATGGAACATGCAACCAATTGTCCTGTGTTACGGGTGCAAAACAGCAACCCCACTCTCCTGCAAATTAACAGAAGAACTCCTGGCAAAGGGGTCGATAGCGGAGATTCCGATGAGATTCCTGTTCTGGGCACTTGGCCTCCCTTCTCTTGTCCAAACAAATCCAAGGCACTTACTCTCCCCGTGCGAGAGTGGAATGGACACCTCCTCGCTTTTGCAGCCTCTTGTGTGGATCAAAGCGCGAAGCCGATACGCCGAAAGTCGGCTCGGGCAAGCCCAGCGGCTCATGCGGCTCTGGGGGTTGACATCCGGCTTCTCGCTTGTGGCCAAAAGGAGTCATGCTGGGTGCTTACTAAAATGATCCTCAGCTCGAAGCGCAGGGGGAATCGACTCTGATTCACGTGGGGTTAATGAATCCAAAGCTCAGGTGTGACGATGCAAACTCCGCAGAGTTCCCTTTCCCGAACCAAGGACAAATGGGCCAACCACAACTTTAGGTCATAGCCCCCCCCCCCAAGGTGTCAACGGGACAAGTACCGCCCCAATCCTCAAAGTCCACATTCGCCGCGGAGGTCGGCACCACGCTTTGGAATCGCCGGCCTATGCACGGCACCGGATGAATTTCATCAAGGCCTAGGGTGTTCCCCCCACATGAATGTGTGGTTGCTTCAAAGGAATCAATGGAGGACACCTTGCAACTCCCTAAAAATGGCTGAGATGCAAGCTGATCAAAGTGAATGTGTTCCTCTAAATAACTTGGGACCCGTTCATCAACCAGTTCTTCCAATCCTGGGAATGTTCAACAAACGCCATTTGGTCCAGGGAAAGCAGACATGCCCTCGTGACTCTACTGGGGGCGAGTCCATGCAACATCTTCTCTACGCATGGTCCCTGAGCGTTGAAACCAAAATACTTGACGTGTTTATGGTTGATACACTTGTTTCCTTGGGCCACTCGCTCAAATCTCTTCAGCCGGGTAATCAGGACTCAGATTCCCCTTGTGATCCAAAACCCCCCAACACTTCGATGGCCTGTGGTGTAGCTGTTGGGCCCATGGAAAACCTCAATGGAGTACCCGCGGGATTGAACCTTGAGGGACCCTTGACATAAGAAGTAAGTAAGGGGCCCTCCCGTTCCAGGTAAGCCGCCCTTGTGGGTGAGCTCGGTTTACACCTGAATGCTGACCAACCCAAACATGGGGTATTCGTCAAAGTCAAAACCAGTTGGATCATCCCAATGGTTTGTTCCGTTTTCAACTATCCCCAACAAAAAGTCGCAAGCGGTCGTGTTGCCAGTCGCATGAAACGTCATTTTGTGTGCTGGCAGGAAACCTCGCATGCTACAAACCGTTGTTTGGTTTCCTTCTAGCTGTTTTTAAGCCATATCAAAAACAACGGTGTGTGGTTTTGCCACGTCCCATGTCAGGGTCCCTGATAAGCATCTGATTCAATATAACGGTGCACGCACACTACGATCACGAAACACCTTGGACACCCTCTTGTTGGCTCAGCTTCAGGGAATTCCAAACGCCACTGAGCAACTGGAGGGCTCTCCTCTGCAACACTTCAAATGGGGCGCGAACTGCACTCTTAAAGAGAAGCGACTGATCAACCATCTAATGATCGAGTCGGGGGAGCTCCCATTAGATTCTTTGAGCAGCGGCAGATGCGGTCAGCACTCATTTCATTTCCCAGCTGAATTGGAAGGTGAAGACCCAGGGTGCTTCCCCGACATCAGCCTAAAGGTGTGTTCATTCCCTCTCCCAAACTTGACCAGGCAAGCCTTCAGGCCGAAGATTTTGGGGGCACCATGACTCCACAAACCCTCCGACTTCCGTGATGAGCGCAAAAAACAAAAAGGTATAGGCCAAACCGAAGCATAAGCATGTGGCTTACCGGCCCCCGTGCCTGCAGCACCAGTAGTCTTGCTTGCGGGGTCCCCCTCCTGCGCCATATCAAGCCACCAATTTTGAGAAAGTAAGACCTCAGAGTTAGAGCAAACCGCTGCACACAGTGGCAATCGCGGCAACAACCTTTGAGCGCAACTTATCTTTTGCGCCAACACACGATTCCCCCATGGACGTCGTTTTCAATTTGGACACTCGAGGAGTTTTCGGAGGAACGCTGCCAACTGATGGGCACACGGTGGTCGAAACATGGCGCCCTTGTCTGAACCCAAGGCTACTCCAGCAAAGAAGTAGAGAGTCCCCCTGGTGTTGGTGAAGCAACTATAAGTCCCCCATGCGACCGTTGAAGCGTGACCAAGCCTAGCGCGCGGAATCAGATTTGGTCGCTCAAGCTTCACTTTCAACCATACCGAAAATCTGACTACTACCAGGCGCCGCAAGTAAAATCAGAACAACATCTCCCCAATAAGATTTCGTGTCAAATAAACTCCCTCCAACTTACCTGCACCTGGGCGCAACATGTTGGGTTGCCGGGGGGGGAGGGGTTGCCCGGACCAAATGACGGTCACTCTTGGACGTGGGTTGGGAATTGTGCAAACCCTACGCAAATAGCAGCAAATCGTGACTTCGGTGGCATCACAGGAAAGTCTGCATATGTCCAACTTTGCGTATTCGAATCTCAGATTCGAATACGCGGCGCTGGCAGGCGCGGCATTTCGGCATTTTCATTTGCTCGAAGTAGGCTCCAGGACTGTGGCTTGACTCTCACTAAGAGAGACCTTCAGAGTCAGAATGCCACCAACACTTTCATGCAGCTGTCCAAGCCGGGCTGCCTTGTATACAGACAAGTCATGAGCTGCGCTCATAACTCGCTGGCAGAACTTCCGTTCCTGCTCGGTCCCGAGAGCGCAGCGGAGACAAAGACCAGCATGCGGGATGGTAGCTCCTTCAATCGCAAGAAGACCCCAAGCCTTCTTAGACACCAGGTGTCTAAAACCACCTGTGGCAAAGTGGCAGCGTGTCAAATAAGCAAATGGGACTGCGCAGCCGCGTAGAGCGCAGATAGTGGAGAAGTCACATGACGTGTAGGGCTGGGGGCTCGGGATCGACTAGTTTGAAGCATGGGTTGGTTTGGATATGCTGGAAACATGGACCCGCGTTCTTTCCCACCCACCCCCCCCCGGTTCCCTCCTCCCCCCTCCCGAGGATCGGCACGCACGGGGCAGCATGAAAGTCCGGGCAAACCCCCCCATCAACCCAACATGTTACTCCCTGCCGGCGGGCGAAAAACCGTCCAAGGGCGCGACCTCCTGGGCGAGGATTTGCTCGGATTCGATCCGGATGCCCACGAGGAATTGCGCCCCCCTGCGGCTTCTTTGGCTCAAGGCGAACCAGACGACAGGCCATGCTTTGTTGAACCTCTAGTTTGGTTGGAAGGGCAAATCCAGCGGCCGAAAGAAAACGTCAAAGTGATCACAGGAGTGTAGCAACATTCAGCAGGTTGATCAAATGTTGGATGACAAAGCATGGGAGAAGACTCATTGAACTCCAAGACCCTTGTGGGACATGAAGAACACTGATGCGATGGAACCCAACCGCCTTAGGCCTGTCATGGCACCAGGGTCAGCATGCTGAACCAAACGTCAACCCAGCTCATTCGTTTCTGTTGGTCATCTCAGTTTCCAATACCTAATCATCAACAAAAGTGTCCGCTCTACCCCAACCGCTGCCCACAAGAGGGAAGTAAGTTGGGTAGCCAAGCATTATATCTAAATGAAGGTTTCATGCAACCGTTTGCGTCTCCAACTAAACAAGCGCTTATTGAGCTACCCCTTTGCGGGTAGCTTGAGAAGCGGAAACCCTCCGACAGGCGTATCAATGGTCAAACAAAGAACAACAGGCCTAAGTTCTTCCCACTTGAACCAATGACATTCAAAAAAAGGAACCATTGCGTTTTGGGTTTACCATGTTTCGTGAGGGACACGGGGACACAGCAAAACGCGAAAGAGGGGCGGAATCGCGCCTTGACTCCCCAGTATTCACCAGGAGTAAATGCACCTGTGTGAACACTCTCTCGCCTCACAAACCCTGTCTTGAATAGTGTCGGTGCTTCATGTCAACCCTTTCTCACTTTCAGCAGCCTTGTCTTCCCGTTTCAGATCTTGCAAGAACATATAAAGTCCAGAAACTGGCGGAAGGTGCTAATCCCTTGCAGGTATCGGCCTGGAACAAAAATCATGAGAACTGCAGACTCGTCGGGCCGTCAGCACGTTATTGGCATCTCACAGGTACCCACGATCATCGATCGCTGTGGTCTTTGGAGCCCTGATGCTGCATTCGCTCCCCACACATTGAAAACAATCCCACTCCCACCTGAGCAGTTGGTTCGTATCACAAGCCGACACTGGCTCCTAAGCCATGTGAAAATATCACGCGGGACGGTCTACGCGTGGTGCATTTCAGGATCAAAGCGCCTACGCCAACTCTGACCATATCTTCATCGTTGGCGGCATGAGCCAGACTGCGAACTTTGGCTACAGCCCACGCGAACGCCTCTGCGGGGCCACAACTCCTTGCTGGTCTCAATGTCTGCTGGCTGCCAAATGATCTGTTCCATTTGGCGGCAGCGGGCTACTCATGTTGCATCTTCCCCAATTCACAAAACGTGCCCGAATCCCTGCCTACCAGTGCCTGCTTGTCAAGTCCAGCCTACGCGGTGCCTATGCAAGAAGCTTCCCAAGACAACCGTCAAAATTGGCTAGGCGCACCTCCGCACGTGCAGCAATCGCCTACGCGATTGCCTGATATGTCACGTCTCCTTTTGCCCCTTACTACCCTAAAAACTCTGCTGGGTTCCATATCCATGCCTGTGAGGCTTGAAGTGAGTAGTTTAAAGTGATGCCATTTTGTTTTGTCGATCAACTCCTGGTTGCTCCTTTGTAGGGCGGCCAGGGCGGGGCCCAGAATCTTCTTGGTGTTTCTTGACTTATTGCCAGCAACCAAGCAACCAACTGGAATCAGGCTTTAGTTTTTTACTCCACTCTTGCGGAGAAATTAGCTGGACCCCATGTTTCGAGATGTCCAAACACTCGTAGAGGGATTCCTTTTTCAGCCAAGAAGGGGAACCATGGTAAGCCCTAATTCGACCTGGACATGAGTTTTGTTGAACACCCTGTGGTAGACATCTTTTGCAATGGGAATTCATGACATAAGCCATTGGGGATTCTGTTGTGTGGGGACCACTTGGCAAACATGATTTGGATGGAGATTTGTGTCTACCAAACATTTTCAAGGATGCTCCAACCGGAAGAATTCATCGCCTCGGTCAGAGAGCCAGCTACAGGAAGCTGCCTCGTGGGTCAGGAACTGCTTCTGGATGGTGGCAGGCATGCACACGGGAAAGCCCGCCTGAACGCGGCTGAGGGTGTGTCATGGTTTTTAGTGCATCTCCGGGCGGGGGTACCTTCCCAATTACTCAAAGGAAACTGGCAGTTCCTATCCCCAAACCCATCCAAATCATCAAAGGTCGTCCCGTCCCAGCGGGTCCCATCCTTGGACGATGCCACCAACTGCTTGAAGCGGCTCCTGGGGGCAGAAGGGCGCCAGACCTTCTGGGCTTGGTTGCGATGGCACATGATGGCACCCTCCAATTCGTGCTTTATTGCGGCCGCTTGGCACCTGGGCCCTGCCATGATGTGCGTGCGCGTGTGTAATGAGTCTATGTGCGTATGTATATGTGTATGTGCATGTGCATGTGTAAGGGTATGCGTGTGCGTATGTGCGTGCGTATGTCCCGGTTTTAGTGCCTCTTGGGGATGGTAAATATAGAATCTAGAGATTTGAGTTCTCGAATTGTCCAATTTTGGGTCCCCAAAGCCTCATCATGTGGAGCCCGGAGTCCTCCGAAATGTCCCAATATGATACCCTTGCTTTACTTCAACTAGAACTTGAATTTTGAAAGTAGTTTAGCAAGGATACAGATTCCGGAAATATGATTTATGTTTAAATATAACTTAAGTAAACAAATCCTTTTCCAAATAGGAGTTACATGAAAATGTAAATGTAACTTCGGGTAACCCCGTAAAAAAGAAAACTACATCGAAATAGGGATTCTAGCTAGATCAACTGTATGTAATGTCGTAGTTGGGCAGGTGAACGTAATTAATTCTATCTCAAGAGGCGGAGGTCAACGTGACCATAGCTTACATGAAGCAAACCCCTCACCCAAAGCACTGGAAAGTTTGTCTAGTTAAGAACTTGAAAGCGGTTTCCCTGGATCACTAAGCACTTGAAAGTACTTTACCACTGGATTGAATACTCAAGATTGAAATCTTTTCAGAGCATCTGGTGCTCTCACTTTGAACCCAGAAGTTGCGGGAACTTGGAGAAATGCATATGACTGCAGATGGGTGCGCATACTTGGTTGCAGAAGTGTGTGTTGAACACGTAGAGTACTGGGACAGCCCAGGGCGTTGTTACAAGATTCCCAAAAAGAATTTTCTCAGATTCTTGAATCTTAAATCCAATATTTAATCAAAAACCCGGGGTTGTCCCAATACTCTGAGATGGATGCAGACTCTCTCAGATGACAGATGTTGATGTCTTTGCTTGCGTTCCTTATGTATGCACACATGTGTATACATATATATATATATATCCAAATACGGCACCCCCCCCCCCCAATTTTGCACCCAAATCCACGAGGCATTAAAAAAAAAAACTGGAAAACACACACAGCTCAAGCTTACCAAACCAGGGTTCATGGGGGGACCATCTATATATATATATATAGCTATATGTGTACATGTAGATATATATATATATATAGTTATATGTCATATATATATATATGTAGTAGCTGCTTACAGTTCGTAATCCAATGCTTGTGATGCACTAAGTTGCAAGATATGCTCCAGGTTTACCGCAGCCAACACGTGGCATGGTTTGGGCTGCGCCAAATTTAGTTGAGAATCAGAATCTCAAATTAGGGCAGCATGAGCTTATGTAAAGACCTTGGACGTTACTTGCTTAAAAGCCCGATTCAAGTTGTTTCTTCAAGCAACTGAAAGCCACACAATCAATCCACACAGTAGACCTCAGGGGCAGTTTCATTCAACCCCGAAATCCCACAAAACGGAACACCAGCACGAATGATCTTGTCCCCTGCCAAAGTTGGCTTTTTTGCTGCAGCCGGCAGGAGGCCATAGCGGGCCTGAGCTAGCCAGCTTCACGCAGCTAAGCCAGGCATGGCCATTCATAAAAACGTTCACGCGTCGTCACGTTGAGCCAACCGGGCCCCAAGCTCAGCAAACAAGCCCAACCAAGCTTGCAGCGCCGCCCAGTCTTTCTTGACTTTGCGCGACCCACTTTCCATGATCCTTGCTCAGCCTCTAGCCCAGGGCTACATGCCCAGCTCATTCCGGCCACCTCGTTGGTCCCCAGTTGAGTTCAAGTTCCTGCCATCCGCTTTGCGCAGCTCACCAGACTGCTCCCAGCCCCGGTATCATTTGCTCAAGCCCGCAGTGTTGTTATTTTTAATTGAGCCTGGCTGAGGCGGTCATGGCGAAGCGTCTGCAATTAAGCTGCTGGGGTTTATCAACTTGTTTGACCTTGCTCAGAGCGACCCTGGTGCAAAAAGTATGGGAACAAGGGCAAGTGTAGTACGAGCAAAGATGCAAGTTTGGAACGGCAACGGCCTACCCAGCACCAAACATTGTTGCAGTGCTCCGTTCAAGAACCCGCAAAATGGCTGTGGTGTCGGAAACCTGACAGCAAAACAGCAAACAATATCAGACTCTCTCATCCCAAATACGCAGGGTTGCCTCAAACTCCCAAGGGGTCTATGGACTAAGCTCCACTGGCCCCAGGCAACCAGGTGCTCTGGCTGCACATGTGGGGAATTTAGAAACATGCAGGCTTCTCGTGCGACAAATTGTCTGCGCTCCTCTCCTGAAACCAAATCCCCGTCCTGTCAGACTCTGTCAGAAGCTCTGCGAACCTCTTGCCCTCTACACGCGTCCTGAGAGGATCGACTCGTCTCGACTCATTCACAGAGGTGCGTGGAAATCGCCATGGATCCAACAAACTGCCCCACTTGTGCCCCGTTTTGAGGTTTCACGTGAACCTGCCAGGAAGTGATACTGACCAAGGCTTCAAATGCCAGCTTTTGGAAGACCGGCTGCGGGGTTTCTCTGTCGGGGCAGAAGCATAGGTCGATGAATCAAATAGGCCAAAGCGCTTAGAGCGGCTCTAGGGACCCTCCAAAGATGATTAATTCCGTTTATGTGTCCTTTTGTTGACCCCAAAAAGGTCCCATGCTAAGCCACAATCCCTGCAGCAACCCCGTGGCTCCCAAAGGACCTTTAGTTGAATCCGTTTGCCAACGATGGATGGGGTCCATCACAACGCGGACATCGAAAACTCCAAAGCTCAAGACGCGCCGTGAAAAGCTCGGCCAACAGGTAAAGCGGAATTTCCCGCCCGAACCCTTCGCTTTGCAAGCCTTGAATCACGCCTTGAGTCTGCCAAAGCTTGCGGCCTTGTTTCGCTTTACCCACTGTGCCGTGATCAGAGCTCAGCGAATTTGTTCACCCTCTTCAAATTCCCCATCGAAGAGCCTCCAATTCTTACGCCCCAAGTCGATTCAAATCTTTCTGCTTCTTACCCAAATGATCGGGGTCGAGGTCGTCCCCAATGCTAACACCCACCCCCCCCCCCCTGAGCAAAAAGCTGCAAAGGCGAAAAGAATGAGCTGCTGGCTCGAAGAAGCCATCCTGTTGCACGCCGGCCCCGCACACCTTAGCACCCACACCCACACAAGTTGTTTTCCTCGGCCCGAATTTGGTGTTCTCTACAATTAGGCTACCCCTCCCAGTGGTTACTTTGATTTGGTGTCCCTAACACCATGGGACGCCCCCCAGTGGTTGCAAGGTGGTTGCAAGGTGTTTCCAACGTGTTCCGGGGACACCATCCCCATTTGGTTTCACAAGGAGCTGGGGGGGCCACCAATTTAGCGGTCAGCGGGAAAAGGGGGCCGATATCTGGGTGGTTCCGCAAATAGAAAGTTGTGCTTTTCCAATTCCAACACACTCGTATTGCATGTGTTGCTCTACAGGACATGTTGGAAAGGGGCAAACACCTCCATGGTTTTGCGGGTAAATGGCAACCTCAAGAAGGAAGCAAGACCTCCCAACAATGCTAGAAGCTTTGGCTGATCAAAGCCAAACTCCCGCAACTGGCTACTGCTTTGCCGTTTCTGGAAGCCTGTTCCAAGTAGTGTGGGAGTAATTTTGGCTCACATCTGACAACAAGTCGACCTTCCTGGTCAGGTAAAAAAGAGAACTTGCAACAACGTTCCCGGCCCTTGCTGAGTCAGCCACATGCAACTTGCTGTCCAGATTCAGGATCACGTCACAAAGAGCCTGTCAGCAGAGTTTGCTCAATAATATTGTACGTCGATGCACCCCTCCGATTGCACAGAGAGCCTGTTTCACCCGCAGGTGAGCCCAACTTTCTCTTTACAGTTCCTCTTGGAATACACCAAAAAGTGCCAATTCATCCATGGGAGTGCCTTTTGACGTGTCTCTGTCTGTTTTTCAAAGAGAAGCGCACGCACTGGAAGAAGCATCCAACTGTGAACAATCGAATTTCGGGGGGGGCTGAAGACCCACTCCCCCATCGCCCCCAAACTGGTGACCTTCATTTCCTTTGAACCAACCAACCAGGGCGGGATGGTCCCACTCTCCGACATCCAAGCACTCCCTCCAGCCCAGCAGTGGCCGTCCTCTGCAACAACGCGGAGGCCCTTGACTTGCGCCGTGGTCTCCTGTCTCCAGTCCACTCCATATCGAAACTCTCAGCGACCGAAGCAGCATGGCCTGAAAATTGCAAAAACCAGCTGGTCACATCAAACAGTCGTGTTATCAACAAATTAGGTTGTTATCTTTCTGTTGCAGGGCTACCTTCCCCATTCTTTCCAGGGATCCTCATTTTCAAAAAACCATCAGAAACCCAGGGAAACAGCGAGTTTTTCAAAAGAACCATGGTTGAAAATAGGAATTGGAATCAACCCCTAGAGATCTGTGGCAGGTTCACTTGCTCTAAGCTCCATGAACTGCACCGTGTCTCCACAGTGCGTATGCTGCTCTCCTGGATGGTGCTGTTCTGCTGCAGGATCACTTCCTGCCGCTTGCGGAGTTTAAGGCCCAAGCCAACCTTCATGGCCCTCTGAAATGAAGAAACCCGCAGCCCAATGAATGTGGTGGGCTAGGCTAGCACTTGAGGTCTCCCAAGAAACCAGGGAACAAACGACGAACTGCAAATCGACCTTCGGACACCCCAAAGGGTGGCCAAGCACCTTTGGTCCCAGGATGTCCCAGGCCTGAATTCGAAAGAGCCGTAAAGGAGACACTGTCAAAAGGCCGATTCAACCTGATTCACACTTTGCAGCGTCCTTTTTTTGGGACCCCCAAAATGATGATCATGGTTTTCCTGTTTGCTTCCCTGTAACAGAAACTTGAAAGGGGTACCCTGGGTACCCTCAAAAAGCCACAACCCACTTAGCTCCTAAAACCAAAGAAAGGAGCTTCGCATCTTTGCTTCCTATCCCGCCTCCGCCTCCTCGACCACATGTTCGATGATCCACTTGTTGCGATGGGTTGTTTCCTCGCATGGTGCCGCTACCACGGCATCAGATCTTTGCGTTCATCTGTATTCACTTGCCTTTGCCTTTCGACCCATCGAGGAACATCCTTCCGGGATCCCCTTGACCAGGATTTACAACCGCTTTTGACATGTCCCTTGATTCTCCACTTCAGACTCCTCAGGTGAATGTTCGTTGGTCAAGAATATCATCGGACAAAGTGATCAGGGGATGCTCTCCCTGAACAAAAAAAACCATGCACGCAAGCCCCACTTGCCTTGGACCCTCTGTCAGTCGTGGAATTTTAAAAGTCGGGCGAGTTCAAGCGGCTCGGTTTTGCTGGCGATCGGGCCCTATTGGGGACCTGCCAAACATCAAACGACCAATCAACCAATAAGCTAAGAATTTAAGAAACAAGCAAACCATACAGAATGTCGCTTAGGTACATCCCGCAGGTAGGCATCGTCATCTACTCCAATCTTCGTTCGAGCAACAAGAGGGACTACGTGAAACACTTCAGTGCCGTTAGAGACTCTCCTGTTGGGGCACGTTCCTTTCAAAGGATCTTCCGCAGGCTCCTTATGCGCATTGCTTCGAAACTACGAGCATAGAACCTAAACGGACCCGGAAGACCATCTTCCCAAAGGGGCCTTCTGTTCGTTTCCCTCAATCCAGTCCCACAACCCCCAAAAGACCGGAGCCCCCGGACCCGGCGCAAAGCACCGTGGTAGGCCATCGCACCTGGGAGCCGGCGGATTCGAGAAGCTAAGGAGTCCCACAGACATCGCAATCACAGCCGTGCCAACTCCTGCGGTGTGGCTGTGGTGGCTGCGGTGGCTGTGGTGGCTGTGTGTGTCTTGTTGTCTACAACATCGCCCTGGACACAAAAGAGACGTGTGACACGACACTGCAGTTTTCCCCCTTTGCTGGCACCAGCTCCGTCTGCAGACGAGCGGCCAAGGCCCAACATCGCGCCAAGGATCAGGTGGCTGTCCGCAAACACGCTGCGCAACCTGCTCTCCACTCAGACTTTCTTTTACGAGTGAGTAGCAACCAGCCATTGATAGTTGATTCTTCCAAATGTGGCCAATGTGGCTCAAAAGGCCTTTGGGTATGCAGGCCCTGCTACAATCCTTTTCTGCAAAGTGCTCAGCACCTTTGCCTTTCTAGAATGTCTTTTGGGCGCACATGCGGCATGCCACTAAACTTGGCGGGCAAGCATGAGGGTGTTCACGATGTACGGCACCACTGCCTTACACGAGAGAACAAGAAACGCCACAGCCGGCGCTGAACCCCGCCGGAAACAGAAAAAAAAGAGAAAAAAAAACACGACACTCCCTTAACATTGGCTGAGGATATCACTTGCACGCCAGTATATCACCACAGTTGGCAGGCGCGCGCTTTTGCCTCTCCTCTCTATTTGTGAGTCTCGCCTTGAGCGAGGTGAAACTTGGCGGGCATTGGCTCCGAGTCTCACTTCCTGAGAGAGCGGCGATTCAGTTCGATGTTTCAGAGTTGTGCCAAGCTCCCAAGTCGGAAGCCATGCCGCCATGGGGAACCAAAAAGGGCTTCCAACAGCCGTTTAGGGTGCGGTTTGCGTGCATTCCATGCCAACTCCCCAGGAAACTCATTTCAGAAAACGGCCCTAGGGTCGGCACTCGGCTTTCGGCACACAGGACGACTTTTCCGCCGACCTGGCCCACAGATCCCCGGATGCGTCTTCGCTGAAGCCACCCTTGGAACACCCTAGAAATCTCCCGGGCAATGGAACCCTCCATTTATTGTCCCAAGCGCTTCGCTGACATGGGATGTTTAGGGTAGCCCTGGGGGAATCGGCTGGTGTGGTCGAAGAAGGAAATCCCGGAGTCTGCTTGGACTTAGCTTGGAGAAGGCAAGAGTTGTGGCGTGCAGGCGGGCGGGATGGGCTTTGACAGCAATCGGCTCAAAAGGAGTGTCGATGGCAACTTCAAATCCAACCTCACATCAAACGAATCCTAGCTGCGTGGACAATCATACATATGCTTCCAGCTCCCGAGTTGCTTTTCTTTAAGCAAAAAAGCCTCCTGAAGGCACAACATTGACACTCATGGTGATAGCTTCTCCCGGGTGCATCAGCAGGAACTGTCATTCGGAACTGTCCTTGGAAGAGAAACACATCTAACAGGGACAAAGAGCACGGGTTCAGAGCCGTGATCTTGGAGTTGCCCAAAACCCCCGGGTCAGCTTCCGTCACTTTTGGAGAGAGGCTCGGCATCATTCTCAAAGTCAGTTCCTGACCCAAAGCTGAATATCGTATAGACACCCACCTGCCACTTGCGTGTTTTTCTCAAACAGGGAATCCTGCACATGTTAGGTGGATTTCCACTTCCCTAACTTGAGGTCGCCCAATTGTAGGACAACTCTGCCATCCGGTTCGCATGAGTTCCTTGGTTTCCCTTCGGCTTACCTCAGAAAGAAGGTCCACGAACCCCACACCCAAGGGAAACACCCCGTAGAAAATGTGTCTGAGTGCAAGTGCTTGTCGAAATGGATATGGGTCAAAGCTAAACCACCAGAAGTTTTGGTCCTTGTGTCCGTCTTGGGTGCCAATTTTTGACCCACACCCAGAGCATGAATAGCCGCGCCAGGCACACCATTGGCACACATCATTCCTCCCGCCGCCGGCATCCTCGCAGGGATCCTGCGGCGTACGCCAGTGAAGTGAGTGGAGAAAGTCGCTGCCGCTCGCACAGCCCGCCCCCCCTACCCCCCCAGATGTGGAGGGTTCTCCCAAGCGGGTTGTTTTTAAAATCCGCCGACCCTCTGCCTCCCGTCCCAGCCTCCTGCAGAGGGGACCGGCGTGGGATGCAACTGGAAGTGATTGGAATCAATGATAGCCCCTGGGGGCACGCCCGAACGCACAAAAAGTGGATTCGCAGGACCGGTCCCGGTCCCGGGACCGGTCCTGGGACCGGTCCTGAACTGGTCCTGGGACCCTGGTTCTGCTGTTTCAGATTACTTGTAGTCAGCCAAAACCGGTCCTGGGACCGGTCCAGTGCTGGGACCGGTCCTGGGACCAGTCCTGGGACTGGTCCCAGGACCATGGTGTGACCGCTGGTACTTAGAAAACTTTCCGGACTGGCACCCAGGACACTGGACAGGGTCCCAGGTCGTCACTGATTGCGACCAGTTGAGGGGGACCAACAGCCTTGTTTCTAGGACCAGCTCAACGTGACTTCGGCACAAACCGGCCCGTGCGGTTATTGACGGACGAGCTGTCATCTGTCTGACTTTTCCGTTAAACCTTGTGGTAGTAGAGGATCCCTGGATCTATTCTGCAAGAGAGTCCAATACGTCGAGTCAAACCGCGCCAGACTGGGACCAGCCTGGATAGGGTCCCAAGTCCCGGTCCCTGCCGGCGACCGGTCCAGGGCAACTTCGGGAGGGCCAGTTTCAGGGCGACCCCGGGAGAGGCGCCAACTCGAAGTGACTTGGGCGCAAGCCGGCCCAAGCGGTAATTAACGGACTAGCTGCCCTATTTCTGACTTTTCCGTTAATCCTTGTTTGTGGTCGTAGAGGATCTTCTAAGTGGTCCCTGGGTTTGCGGACGTGTTTCAGGACCGGTCCTTGTGACTTTTCCCTTAATGCGCCGAGGGTCGGCGGCAGCAGGCGGGAGCCTGGTTAATAACCCAGGTCCACCCTTTGTGCCCACCGGGGTCCAGCAGGTTGTCACCCCTGTGGATATTGTACCCCCAGTAAAGGTGGGGTTTGAATCATGAGGTTCATGTTGAACTTATTCTTGAATAAATGATACAAGGCCCAGCCCTAGCAAGAAATAACGGTCAAACGTCAACTGATAAGTTGCTGACAAAAAGATAGGAGGCATGCATATCCGCACGCTTGCTTGTTCTTAAGGAAGGTGGCTCAATCAGCATTCAAACCCTTCAAACTGATGCATCTGGAAGCCGAACCGGGCCCGGAAAAGGCACCGGGTTCGACCCTCCCGGCCTGCGATTGGATGGGCTCTCCGTTGGTGTTGCAGTTGCACCACACCGCTGTGCCTGAGCCAGTGGGGCATGAGTCAGGTTCCTCATGAAGCCTTGGGAGCCCCAAATCAGCAAGCGGTTGGGCCAGCCCGAAGCAGGATTGGGCGAGCCCCTCAATCGAACATGGTTTACACCACTGACGTGGTACCCCCAGTGAACATCCCAATCCCCACTCAAATAGACTAAAATGGGTGGTGCACCTACCCCAAAATGGTACCATTGGTTTTGACCCACGGCCATGTGGAAACAAGTGCCTTCAGCTCACCATTAAAGGTGACTGGAGTGCAGATGTATAAACAAGCGTGGCTCCATCCTGGCAGAGAGTCGACAAAAACACCACCGAGGGAATAGGGTATCAAGCCCCACCAAGACTTGGATTCACATGGGAACCTAGTTTGAGGTGGATTGTTGTGACAACTTTGACGTCCTTGCTGTTTCAGGAAACTCGTTTGCCCAGGACACGTTGTTGATTCCAAACTGTTTCGCCAACGGAGGCTGCTATGCCTCGAGCTGCTCCCTTTTCGCAAACACCAAGGCTCGGCGGACGACAAACCAAGATCAGTTTCGTTTCCCGAAGCAAGCTGATGCTTGGAAAACCACCAAGAATATAGTTATTGCAAGAATCAAAGTCTTCCTACCTTCCATCGCTTCTTCGAGAAGGCAAGGCGAAAATTCTCAAAGCTGTGGGGAAAAGCAAGGCCGCTCCACCAAAGGCCCCGCTCCGAGCCTTTCTCCGCCTTCTTCCGACCCTTGCACCCTGCCTGAATCCGAGAGCGAACGCGTCCCCCTTTTGAAAGCCAGGGCTCTGATGGCTCTGCAAACTGGACTCCCAAGTCCCTTTTCAAACCGCCACCTCCGAATCTTTGGCGTACTAGGGAGCCTTCCAGCCAAGGCTCTTGCTCCTGAAATCCCCAACAAAGTCTGTTCTGCACCCGCCCCAATCCTAGGCGTCAAGATCCCGAGCAGCCTTCCGTGACCCCGTCCTGTGATTGCGCAATTTGACCCAGCACGATGCAATTACACAGACTCGCTCAAGAGAGAACCCGTGAAATGCTATGAAATGAGAAGAATCTCGGCAACCCGATTGATGCCCTGGTTCATAGTTCATGGTTCGTTCCTTTCATCCCAGCCAAAAGTAAACAGCGGGGGTAAAGTACTCAAAAACTCTTGGGGCATCGCCAAAACGATGCGACCTTTGATCGGCCTCCGAAGCTGGCTCGCCTTCTTTGGCTTCCGACTGGCCTGGGATCAATGCTATGGCTCCTTTTTGGCATGCGCAAGGAGTTCTGCACTTAGGGGCCCTACGAGCTCGGCTGGGGCTGCTTTTGGTGTCCCCTCTAGGCGCAAACGCATGCGTCTCCTCTTAAAACATTGGCGCAAAGGGGCTCAATGCGATTTGAGTCCATCCAACGATTGTCCAACAAACGCCTCAGGCCCTTTAGGGTAGACCCTTGCAGCCCGTCTGAGTAAGGCGCCCTTGGCCGTTTCTGTCGGGTTCGCACTACCTTCTTCTTCCTGAGCTGCCAAGAAACGCAAAAAGCAATTCACAAGTTTCAAGGGTCTGATTCCTTCCGGAAAGAAGCCAAGTAAGTCGTGATCAAAACCGTACAGAAGTCTGCCCAAAATGATACGAATAATGACAAAGAGGCAACTTGTCATGAACGGAACTCTACTAGACTAGTAGGTCCGAGGCGAGTATTTGCCCGTGGTGGAATTGCACGATTTGGGCGACTCGTTTCCTTTTTCGCCCGCAACAAAAGGACAAATCCGAGCTCAGTGCAAATGGTTCAGGCATCAAAAACAGGGGCAAACAATCGCGACCGTGTGCGTTTTCCGGACAAAAGGAATCGACATGAGTGCCTTAGAAGGGGTGGCAAGACCTTGTGATTCCCCAAAACACCGGTGGATTCCCCAAACCGTGGATGCTTGGCATTTGGGCTGTCTGGATTCCCCAAAACGTGGGTGGATTCCCCAACTTGTAGTAATTATACATTATCGCTGCCTCCTGTTGCGCTTGCATACGCTGCTGCAAAGTGTGACAAAGACTGTCTGCAACAGGTCCTAGGGATCACAGCCGCGTTCCAGCTACTAACCTTCGACTACATGGGCTTCCTTGTGGCTCACAAGAAAGCCGGAATTTAAAGGAACATCTTCTAAATGTGGTTTGAAGGGAAACAACTGCAAAAGACTAGTTTGAGAACCGCTCAAAATGTTTGCTTCAAGGGTG